ATGGCGCTGGGACATCACGAACGTCGTGTCGCCACACGGTCTGCCCACACACGCGTTTCGTACGAGACCTCCAAAAATCTTGCTTCGAGTCTGCGAGACGAGCGTTTCGTAGCGGACTTCCTCCAAAAGTCACGCGTCAAATCTCCAAAACGAGCGTTTCGTACGAGACTTCCTCAAAAACTCGCATGTCAAAGTCTGCAAAGCGAGCGTTTCCTACGAGACTTCCTCCAAAACTCAAGTGGAAACACCCATCGGAGCACACACATCACGGCCCTGCCAAGCAGGTTCGCGATTATTCCACCCCCTCCAAACAACACCCGCTCACACGCCAATCCCAATGTCACAGCGACATTCACCTCTACGACAACTCATCCCTGCGCCTGCCACGCATCTTTCCGCGTCCCCATGTCTAACGCGCGCAAAGTACTGCGCCTGCCATGAAATGTCACCTTCGTCACACCTCGCAACCTCACGAGTCCCTGCGCCTGCCACGAAATTCACACTTCCGTGCCTCAAAAACCGCACAAAGTACTGCGCCTGCCACGTCATGTGAGCTTCAGCAAAATTTGCACGCGTGGTGTGGAATGATTTCGACCCGTCCTGAGCACACTCCCATCCACCAAAATCACCATTTCAGCTGAGACTTGTCACGAAAACAGAGCTTCGCTGCGATATCCTGAAACGCAAATCCTAATGGCACGGCCACATCCAACACCTCAAAAACACGACATCTCCAAATGCTGATCCCAATGGAACTGTGCAGAAAACTGCGGATCTCACAAAACGCTGCGCCTGCCAGGTGAAATCATTCCACACTTCAACATCTTACATTTCCACACGATTCCTCGCTATTTCACACGAATCTGACAAGTCACGTTTCCATCCAAAACCCTCTCCAAAAGCCTCCCCCAATGGTAGCGCCTCAGCGCTCTACCGCGAACGGTTGCGAACGGTTGCGAACGGTTGCGGACGGTTGCGGACGTAGAAACAACGGGTCGCGAACAAGGCTCTACCCCCAGACCCCCAGAGTTAAACGAGAACCCTTCGCTACGCATTCGGGAAAAATACCATCTCAACCAACAGAGCCCCTACTGGCCGATCGATCCACCCCGGAGCCTTTTCCCGGAAAGGGGGTGATTCATGGGATACCCCGATATCACTTCTAAGGAGACCCCTAGTTAGACACCCCGGTTCCCCGCTCGGGCCGTGGACCGATCCACCCCTCGGCCCCGCTGTGGCACCGGTCCGCCGCAGGTGTGCGGACGTGTGGGACTGGTCCGACGCCGACCGGAGCGCGGGGGGCGAGACCCAGCGGCGAAGCACCGGAGTTCGCCGGTCGCGCATTCGGGCATTTGTCGGGCGAAGCGCCGACGGCGCTTCGCTGGATGTGGTAGATTTGACTGCATCAAGTACAGACCTTTTTGGGGGCGAAGCATGTGCGTTTCAGTAAGAATCTGTTGGTTTGATCAACCACCATGTCTCTTAGTGTGGTAGTTGATATATAATCGAACTTTGTTCTTCGTCGCGTGTGCATTGATGGTTCTTTTGACGCGAATCACAGCAACTGTGAGGAGCCGTGTTCTTTTCCCCAGCGACCCCTACGGAAGCACGGTCAGCATCTGGGCCAAACTAGCCGAACACAGAGTTCTTTTCTGAAACATACTGGATCTAAGATCAAAAAATCATTCAATTCTAACTATATAACTATATAACACAAAAGTTCAATCGATTTGCGAATGCTTGCCACCTTGACTTGCAGATTTTGGTGAGTCCTGACCCGTACTCAGTGGCCTACAGGAGTCAGGTGACGTCCACGCTTGGCGTGTTTGTAGCCCGCGCACCCTGAGGCACCATCACCAACGGCTATCCTCACCGGCGTCGCCAACGGTATTCACGGTACAGCATCGGCCCCTCGGTGAGCGAGCAGTGGGGCAGGAAGTGAGCAGTGGTCGTTGGAAGATCGACCAAGTGCCATCCGTTGGCAGCTTGTTCCAAAGTTCTGTCAAAAAGGCCAGGTTTCTTTTTGCATGATGTTGTGAGCTGGGGAATTCGTGCCACACTTTCATTGCCTTTCATCCGTTGCTCACCAAGTTGTGGCGTAGCAAGGTCTGACTGGACTGTGTTGGACGATCGACATAAGCTATTGACCTCTCGGATCTGATTGACCATGTACGGCATGCGTCGCAAAAAGGGATTTGCAAACATGCTGAGTTCTCACTGCAGATGCAGACGTGTGTTTACGTGTGTTTTCTCAACTCCTCTATTTGTCAGAGCTGGCTAGAAGAGCATCGTAGACACCAAGGCAGACACTAAGTCTTTGAACAGACTGTATCAAAATGCCTTCCTCTAGCTCAAATGGCAAATGGGCTTCACAGCATGACGGCCGCCTGAGGCAAGCTGACGCGAACTGCATTTTCTGCCGTCACGGTCCAGGCTTTCTGATGGCCGGTTCAAAGCAAGGTGCTGTTGATTCACCAAACTCTGTGCCCTTTGGGAGCATGGAATTCCCGCCACTATTGCAATGCTTAGCAAGACTGTCTGAATGGGCGCAAAAGAGTTTGTTCATCAAGAGTAGGGCCACCCGAATGTTGACCTTTCTCCTATTTTCTCGCTAGCAATCCAAAACCTATGGGGCGTCAAAACTGCACCAAAAGCATCAGGCTTGCAAGCTCCCAAGATATGGAGAAGAGACGCCTAAGCCTAAACAATTAGGGCTAAGCAAGCATTTTAAAGTCTTTCGAGATGGACTTCTTGCTCTTGCTGTGTCAAAATTGAGACATGGCCTTCGCATGCTTCCGACACCCCGCGCCTTCAGGTCCGTCCTGTCTTTTCAGCGTCCAAGGTTTACTTCGTTTCCGCATCGATGGAGCGAAGCCTTCGCCCCAAACGTCCGAGTCGGCTCTGCCAGGCCCGACTCCTGGAGGAGCTTCCAAGGCGACGCGTTGGGGGGGCGGACGAAGTGGGAGATGGGACGCGTTCGGGGCGTTCGGAGTGCAGGATGCCACAAGGATGCCACCTGGATCCACCTTGTCATGGTGCCACATGTGACACATGGACTCATGGTGCTCTCTCAAACATCTGGGATCTGGAACTTCTCCAAACAAGGGGAGAGTAAGAAGGGGTGGACCTTGTTTTTGGTGATGGGCATGTTCTGAGACTTCTTTTTTTGGAGGTGCTGCATCAGGATAAGGACACCCATATTTTTTTGGGGGCAGAACTGTGCCCCATGGCCGTCAAAATCATTTTGGAACAAACTAAGGAGCGACATTCATGCATGAATCAACTGCAGCAGACCATCTGACACCAAACCAAAGCAGCAAAATCTCTCAGTTTCCAACAGTGTATCCTCTCGAGGACCGTCAAGGTGTCCGAAGAAAAGATTTGTCACTCAGTGGTGTTGGCTTCCCACCTTTTGCTTGACTGCCAAGAACAGAAGATGACGCCGAGGACATACGAGGACAACAAACCATTAGGTGCTACCGTCACCGAAGAACATTTGCGCGATGTTTGTCATCTGCGACATCGTTGTGACATTGTGGCGACGTCTTGCGACATCGTGCGACATCCGCAACCGGTCCAGTCCAAGACGTTTTCGATGTTTTGGAACGTTTCTCGGAGTCGCGTCGCGCGATGTTTCGTTTCTCCGTTTCTCCGAGTCTGCGCCGGGCTCACAGATTCCGGCGCCTGTCAAGCAACGACCCCTGCGTGGACAATTGCACCAGCTTTTGCTCCCAGCCTTTTGGCGTAACACAGGGGAGTGTGTAGCACGAGTGGAGCAGAGTGGATGGCTTTATCCTGGACGAAGAGGAGAAACATGTTCAATTGGATGTCTTCGGTGTGTTTTGCGGCCCCAGCTGAATTTCAGGGCCAAACCTGGTCGTTCTTGGCATTCTGACCAACTGGTGTGTGGTAGAAATCATTCGAAATCAACCCAAATTTGGTTCCTAGATTCTTAGGGAAACTAATAGCGATGGCCTCCAACCTAATAGTGATGGCCTCCAACCAAATAGCGATGGCCTCCAACCTAATAGTGATGGCCTTCAACCTACTAGCGATGGCCTCCAACCTACTAGCGATGGCCTTCAACCTACTAGCGATGGCCTCCAACCTAGCGATGGCCTCCAACCTAATAGCGATGGCCTCCAACCTGATAGCGATGGCCTCCAACCTAATAGCGATGGCCTCCAACCTACTAGCGATGGCCTCCAACCTACTAGCGATGGCCTTCAACCTACTAGCGATGGCCTCCAACCTAGTAGTGATGGCCTCCAAACTCATAGCGATGGCGTTCAACCTACTAGCGATGGCCTTCAACCTACTAGCGATGGCCTCCAACCTAATAGTGATGGCCTCCAACCTAATAGCGATGGCCTCCAACCTAATAGCGATGGCCTCCAACCTACTAGCAATGGCCTCCAACCTACTAGCGATGGCCTGCAACCTACGGCCTCCAACCTACTAGGGATAGCCTCCAACCTAATAGCGATGGCCTCCAACCTAATAGGGATGGCCTGCAACCTACTAGCGATGGCCTCCAACCTACTAGCGACGGCCTGCAAGCTACTAGGGATAGCCTCCAACCTATGGCTTGCAACCTACTAGCGATGGCCTCCAACCTACTAGTCATGAATCAATTGGCCGCAGAGGCTTGGAGCATCTAGCTCCTCCGCTCCGCCGTCGCCTGAACCTCCGGAAGCATCGTTTTCCCCCGCTCGGATTTGCGAGATCGCTGAGGGACACCTCGGACGAGATCGTTGAGGACTGCCAGTCCGATTGCTCCTTGACGAATCAGACCTGGGCAACCCAGCTGTTTCAATCTGTTTCATCATGTTGCAGCTGTCCCTCACAGCTAAGATTCGCACCCCCAGCCAATCTTTCTCCCATGGTTTTTCTCGCTATGGGCCATAGGATGTTATAGGTGTATTGGGATTTCTGAGATGCCTGACACAGTTCCATCACGGGGTGGGGCTGACGACACACTCCCATGCGCCAAGATTGGGTGACGAAGACTTCTGAGTTTTAGATTGGGGCAACGTTTGAACGTGCTTGGGACCTTTGAGAAGGGGAAGTTCGTGGGGGTATCAGCCCAGCACATCGTTCGGACACCAGCGTACCGAAGGCTTGACAACTCCCTGGTTTCTCTCCCGGGAGGACAACTCCTGGAAGGGTTGGCAACTCCTGGAAGAGATAACTCTTGGAAGGGTGTCTCACTAATGATGTTCTTCCTTTTGGCGTGATGGGAGGATGGAAGGTCGGGCAAATGACAGATGGAGCCAAATTCAGGCAACTGTGAGACACTTGCTGACGGCGCTGCGTTTCGCCGTCGTGGGCGCTTCAGGCTTGTGGACCAACTGTGGCCTGGTTGCTCCTTGGACTCCAAAGGAGTTTGCTGCAATGGATTGGGGCGTTATGGGATTTGGGTTTGTGCACAGGTTGACCCACTTTTTGATCCATTCTTGTGGCACCGTTTGCAACAGAGACACTTGCTTCACCAATCCGACTTGAGCAAGCATGCCGCATATTTTGGTCCAGCTGTTTCTCTAGCCCCATGTACCCAAACGCGGGCAACCATGCTGGGGCATGCCCACTTGGAACAGGTGCCTCCTAGGAGCTCGGTTCGCGTCCGAGCTCCTCGATCGCTCTCCCCGATCCTGCGGACGACGAACAACACGTCTAAGGGCAATTTCACCAGCACCGTCACACAGACGTCCACCACCACCACGACCTTGCCACCTCCACCGGTGCGCTTGGTGCAACTTTCAGGCCGCTTATTACCGGACACGCACGCGCGGGAACGGCGGAAACCGCCGCGGAAACCGGCCGCGGAGACGTCGCCGCGGAGTTCACGGCTCGACGTGGGTGGCTTCGCCGATGTTTTGTTTTTTTGGAAGGAAGGACGAGGTTGGACCAGTGGAGTTCAAAAGCCAGTGGGGGGGGGGTCTTCTCCACACTTGTTGGAAGCCATTGGTTTCAGAGAAGGATCGTAGCGGAGGCGATGGCATCTATAGAAAATATGGTCTCTGAACTGCATCGGGTTGTCGGTAGTTGATTTTCTCCAAGGTTTGGCAATCGAAAAAGCTTCGCTCCCGATGTAGGCTGCAGAATCAGGCATGTTAATTGTTTTCAGGCTATCGCACACCTTGCCCGATGTGGTTGACTGTGCTTGGCATTGAAACAACGCAGTTTTTTTCAATTTTGTGTTCTGGGCGTTGCCACCTTTTACCTATGGAGAAGAGACACAAAACATTGACTTCGCCATATGCGGTACGCTGCACTCTCAGTGCATCGGTTACCGGTTGTGAGGGTGGACGCCTGGCAAGGACCTGGCAAGGACCTGGCAAGGACCTGGCAAGGACCTGGCAAGGACCTGGCAAGGACTTGGCAAGAGTGCAATTCACAAACAAATCCTTCAGAGGTGTTTCCTAGAAATTTGTTTTTCACCTTAGCTCAAGGGGCACAGGTTGGCTTAAGCTGCTGAAGCTACATGTCTTCTGTCTTCGCTCACTTGGGGGCACGGCTTGCCAGGCGATCTGTTCAATGTGGGAGATTCGCTGCCATCGGCCAATTCAGTTGCAAGCAGAACTCTCCAAGATTTGTGACAAGAACATCTACCAACAAAAAACTTCAAACATTGGGAGACGATGTTCCACTTATTATTTGCCAGCTGTCACAAAGGGGTGGTGTTTAGTCCCTAAGTGAGTGGATAATGGGCACCCCTTAATCTCCATTAAGCACCGCCTTTGTGACTGCTGGTGGCTGTGCTTTGTTCACTTTTTGATGTTTTGAGCGCGTTTTCAGAACCAGCCCAGCGCGTTTTGAGCGGGTTCGCTCAGGAAGGCCATGTCGCGGGCCGAGTGGAGGTCTTCTACAATGGGGAGTGGGGTACTGCTCCTTGGAGATCGAACAGACATCGCGAGGCTGCAGCGCATGCAGGGGTCCGGGGTTTGGTGTCCAAACCTGTGCCCAGCCCGCTCGGCGGTGGGGGGACGTTGGGGGTACGTTCGGACCTATTCATGTTCGGTGGAACTGTGGCGGTGTTGGGAGCGCCGTTCGTCTCTGACCCGGTGGCCTCAGGTTTGCTCCGATGGCTTCGACGACGTGGAAGCCACCGTGGTGTGCAACGAGCTGGGTCTAACCAGCGCGGGCCCTGGAGCGTGGGCGTAGGTGAACATCCCATTTTCCTTGTGGGTTGTGGTGGCTTTGCACCCCAAGGGCTGGCAAGAATAGCCTGTGGCTGAGGACGAAATCGTGCATGAGATGCCACCGATTCGAAGGTGATCAGACCATTTGACCAGACTTGGGTTCAAGCACGACATGCCAAGCAATTCTCTCTCCCCCATGACACCTCTTCCACACGTCTCCCTAGCTGCTACGGGTACCTTGACTGCCAAGCACTGCACTCAGATACCTACGCTCGCTTTGACAGTTCGGCGCAGGAGCCGCTGCAGTTGGGCGGGATGAGGGGCTGTGGTGGCTGGGGAGCTGTCCCATTTCCGCACCATTTTGAGCGAGGTTTCCGCTAATCCATTGATCAATTGAGCAGCGTTCTAAATTCACCCTTTCTTGTTAGTCAGGGACCGGCGAAAAATAAGTGAACATAGTGATTTTAGCTGATGTTTGTAAGGTGTCCGTAAGGTTTGCTGTAAGGATGTGCAGACTTGAACGATGCCGGAAGGCTACCGGAAGCGACACTTGTTGATTTGATTATGTTTCCTTTCTTGTTTTGCAACAACATTTCATATGTGACCATTGTGGTGGACTTGCATACCTTAGCCGTAAGCACAACGTAAGAATAGCCATGCATACATGTGTCACCGTAAGCAAAACATAGAAAAACGTAAGCTTTGCGTAAGGCCTACCGTAAGGTTTGATTTCTCGGCAAGAAAAGACAACACAATGTTGAACACCGCTCAATTGGGTTAACATAGAGGCAGAGGACAAATCGACCCCTCCGAAACCCGCGCCTTTGGGCTCTTATTCTTTGAGCCAGGCTCTATCAACCAATTGGGCCACCGTGTCCCAGCCGCACGGCCCCATACTAGGCCGGAAGTCCTGGCTCTGAAAGCCAACAGAAGCTGGGCAGCAAAAAGGAAACGACGGCTCGGTGACTTCAGCAGCGAGCAGCAGCTGAACACAAGTGCATTGGACAGTAGAGGTGACTGAGGTAGTACTATCGGCTCGGCCGGAACGTCCGACCCTCGGCGTCACGGCGCCCCAAGGATTTGGATCGATGACATTGACTGCGTAGGCGTGCGTGAACCCTCGTGGAGTGGAGCCGCAGACGCTGCCACTGGAGGGAGGGGATCGAACTTTAACCCGAATCGGCACTAGAAACCGAGTCACCCCGACAGAAGACCGCGATCAGTGGAATCAGTGTCATACCGTAAGCCTTCCACTGAAAAGAAGGAATAACATATTTGGACCTTCAAAGGGGTGTCCAATGGAGATCCCTAGGTAGTGTAGGGGCTTCCATTGGTGACCCCTTTGAAGGTGCTGGTAGGGACTTCGTTCATCTTTCCCCCAGCTTCCCCCGACCCCACCGAACAAGAACACCGAACGACCAGTCCTCGGGGGGTCTCTCTATGACTCCAAGGACGAGCTCGTCCGGGTCGCGAGTCAGGCGACGAGTCGCACCTCAGCTTGTGCGCAAAAGCAGACTGGGGCGTGAGCAATTGCTTCCACTCCGAAGATGCCAAGGCCACCCTGGCCAAACCGAGGGCCGGGGAGGGCCGGGAGTTTTTGGATTTGTAGTGTTTCGTGGTGGTGGGTGGGCTGGGAGGAGGGGGAAGGCGAAGTGACCAGAGTGACCAGGGTCATTTCGGGCGATTTGTAGGGTTGGGCGGTTGGGCTGGGGGCGGTTAGACTAGAAACGAAGAGCAGCATTCCTGAACCGGGCTGGGGACATCTGGGGACCATCTTTTTTCCGCGCGGACTCGTGTTTTCAGCGTGATGTTGCCGTTTTCTCCATGTTTTCTCTAAGCGATGGGTACCGTATTCTCTACCAAAAAGGGCCATTGGTGGCAGCTTTTCTCTGGCAGCGGGATTTTTCCGCTCCGTCACGCGGCCAGGTTTGGTGTGAAAGCACCTCGACCACGGTGACCACAAGGAGTAGCGGAGTCTTTGAGCGGTTTGGGTGACCAAAGCTGCTGGAAACCCGCCGAGCTGCAAAGATGGTGACCACAGTGACCAGCAGATGATTTGGTGTAACAAGAACAATTGAGTCATATTCAGATTTTGCTGCCACGCAAAACGAAGGAATCACGAAAAGACTATCTCACAGTGCCCCACCCCTTTCTGTCACCACGACCTTCCCAAATGGTTTCGCCGCGTGCGCGGCGGTCGTGCCAGGACGCAGACAACCACCTTGGCGACCACCTCCACCACCACGGCCTTTCCCACGGTCATGGTCACTCCAAGGTGGGTGAGTCTCCCTCGACGTTCGTTGTGAAGGGACGAACGTCGACGAACGTCGAACGAACGTTGTGTGGTCAACAGACGAAGATTCAACAAAGATGTGCGGATCGGTATAGGATCGGTATAGGCTACATGGAGCCCTGGAGTCCCTCTGGAAGAATTTGGTTCAATCTCTTTGTTGTCCCAGAGCCCCCATGACCGAGATCGGGTCGGGAAGGTTGGCTCTCTTGAAATCTGTTGAATCTACTTCAGACAGATTGGACACCTGAAAACCGAGATGGGAATTTTGGCAACGGGAATTTTGGCAACAAAGGTTCTGGTATGTTCTTGTGATTGAAAGACTCTCGAAGTCCACAAAGGAGTGAACTATGTGAGGTGTGCCAGTGCCATATCGAAGGTTTCTAGGGCGGTCCAAAGACATCAGCTTTTGAGGCCTCAAACCCAGGATGTCTTTCATTTGATTTCGACTGAACCACACAACCAAAAGGTCATATTTCGTGCCAGTGTTTGGTCTTTTTCATTCTTGATGAGTCCGCAAGTCGTTCTTTTCTTTTTGGTTCCAGTTTTTTTTGACCTGTTGGCATATGTCACGTCGTCCGCTCGCCAGGAGCGGCTTCCTTCGGCAAGATCTCACCGGGCGCTGCTTGAGCCCCGCCAGCTGCACTGAAGCAGCAGCCTTGACCGTGCAGGAGGGTGCTTTCCTCTCTATTCCAAGAAGTCTGGGAGAGGACCTGGAATAGGTACAAGGAGAAGAGCCTGGATATCTGCTGTTCCGTTCCAATCAACGCCCCGGGTCGAACAGAACATGTCGCCTTCAGACGCCCAGAACGTCCGGTTCTGTTCCACGGCCGTTTGCAGAACGACCCAGTCAGGCGGTCGCCCGTGGGTCGGCGACCCTTGGGTGACGGAAGAAGACGACGCGTCTCGACACGACGTTCGCGGTGGGTGGGGGGAGCTCTCTGGACGTTTCGCGGATGAAGACTGCGGGGGGGGTTCAACCGGACTGTGCGGATGAAGCTGTCAGGATTGCACGCTCTTCTTGCCTGCGGACAAGAACCCGCAGAGGTGGATGGTGGATTCGCACCTTGGACGCGTGGAGACATGTGGAGAAGGCTTAAAATTCTGCCGAATCACCTGACAGGGGCCTCAATTGTCCATGGTTCCCGAAATGATCCATCAATCCATGATCCTTGAGACTCGTCCATCCCCAAATCTGCTGGATCGAGCTTCCCCAAAGCCTTCCGGAAGCCCAGGACGTTGGAGAGGGCCGCCGACGTCGCCACGCCGCCACGACCAGGTACGGAACCATGGAAAGCGTGGGCTGCCCGGGCATGTGGCGGGCCTCAGGAAGGGGGTGGGAGTGGTGGCCACCAAGGTGGTCGATGATCGTCAAAACAATCTGGCAGCGACAGATGTTTGAGCAAAGATGATGACTGGTTGACAATAATTATGGACTCAGCCAGTTTGTAGTGGAGAAGAGTCTCCCAGGTAGTTGTTGGAAGCATTCTTCTGTTGCATGGAAGAGTTGGTGTGGAATGGGTGTTTGTAAGCAAATCAGACTGAATCAAAAAGTGTCACACTCTGCTTGTTCATAACATCTAGACTCAAAGCCCCACAGCATGCTGTTTTGACCGCAAAAGTGCTGTTCCACGCTGTTCCTAAGATGGTCTCACAGGTCTTTCCATAGTCTTTTCACTGACTCAAGAAGCTCAGGTGCATTTCTCCCACAGGGAGCACCTGGAGTGACCAAGACGTGGTGCTCTCGCCCCTCGGTCCAATTGGCTCACGGGGAGCGGGGACATTCGATGCAGCGGGTCCCGTCGAGACAAATGCCATGACGTCTCAAGAGGTCTCACTCAAAGTGGGTGAAATATCGCTCAGTTCTTTGGATCCTGTGGATCTCCCATACGGCTCCTCTTTTGGGGACCCATTCAGGTGGGCCTGGGTGGGGGACATTTGCGGTCCATTCTGCCAAAAGGCGGTGCGGGGATTGCTCGCGTCACGTCGGCTGGATCGGAGCTCAAACGAAGAAGCGCACTGCCAAGGTCCTGCGAGAACGTCCCGACCTCGTGTCTGGGCTGCGCTGTGAAGAGCTGCGAAGAGTTCGCTGGATTTGGCCGATTGACCGTCGACGGAGTCGGACTGAGTCATCTCATGACTTGCCATAGCTTGAGGTGATCTCCCACCGCACCAGGCCCGAGCAATGATTCGTGGCCAACCAGGTAACCAGTTTCTTTGCTGGGCTGGATCAGGGGTCCATTGTTTGAGAATTTGCTGCAAAGACGCGTTGGGCAAGCACCTCCAGCCCAGGAACAACACAGATGATCACACCGGACAGCGGTTCTACTTCCATGCAGAAGGCACGGGCGGAAGGCTTCGTTTTTCTCATCAATTCTCTGAGTTTACTTGAAGCATTTGCTTCGGCCACATCAGTCGTTGTTTCCTTAAAAGTCTTTGAGTCATTTGATCCAGAAGAACATCCGCCTCACTTCCAGGCAGATCTTCTTTTTGGCACATCCCAGTCGCATCTCGTGTACAAACCCCATCGGCGGCGCTTGCCCGAAAGGATGCGACTCCCGGCTTGTCCATCGGGGGCGAGCCCACGTGTCAGGCTTCGTCCAGAACCAGTGGAGCGCCAAGTGCTTGGCCCCTTGGTCGGGACCAAGCTGTTTCGGGTTGACATGGAACGGCACGAGGTGAACTGGACACGGCTTGGCCTGTGAAGACATGATTTGATTGGCATGGCTTGAACATGATGTGATGCCATTCATGGCCTTCAAAAACCCATGGATGGCTTGAACTTATGAATTGTCACGAGACCCTGGAGATGTTCTTGAAATACTGTATCTTGAAATGTCCTTTCCGCGGTGGGTCCTACCTACTTCCAAGACAAAGCTATTGAAATGGTTGGATTGTTTTTGTTAGAAAACGCATTGGCAGTTCTAAACTGCTGTTATCCAAAACCGATTGCAGAGTCCTCAACATCTTGGTAAACCCAGATTAGTGTATGTTTAATGTTATTTAATCATGTGTCATTGGTCAAGCAAGAGGTGGAGCTTCGGTTGTGCAACGCTAGGACAACACTGTTGTAGCAGCCGGGGCAGATTTGAGTTGCAGTTTTGTTTGTTTGAGTTTCATGAAAGACTTCCCAAGAGAGGTTAAGTGACCTTATAGGACCTTACTGGCATACCTATGGGATAGGCTAGTTCGGGTCCTTCAACCTCTGTTGGTCTCTTTTGCACAGTTTTGACACAAAGGATCCGATGTTGGAGTCCCAGAACACATCGAGGAATCCGAGTCTCACGATGGTCACTGAGGACTCCAACAGCGACGGCGTGGTGGGATGGACCGAGTGCGAATTGGAGGTGCCACACCAGCGGATCGGACGCCGGCCGCCTGCGCCATGGCGTCCGTGTTGGGTGATGAGTAACTCATCATCCTTGGATCGCTAGCGATTGGATCACCTTGCGTCGAGTTGGAAAAGATGCTGAGTTTGTTTTTGTTGGGGGGGGCGGAAGTCATGTTTGAAGAGTATGGTCACTGTGACATGTTTTTGGGCACTGCCTGGTCCCGAAACGAAGCTGTGTTTGCATGGCATCGGCCTGACAGGGGGGGTACATTTGATCAGCTTTTATCGACGAAGAATTGGGGTTGCGATGTTTCGGGCGGGGACACAGCCGGGGGACACCTGCTGCATGCGCGGACATGGGTGTTTGATGGTTCTTCATGGGTGTTTGATGTTGCAATCTATTGAGGTGATGATTCACTTGCTAGCTCCACATGTGTGTAGTTCTTGGCACCCGAACAGGCTTGGAAAACGGGTCTTGGCTGTTTGGGGCTTTCTCGGCATGGATTCATTCAAAACTCCAGTGCCCCCGTTGGTTGGACAGTTCTTTGCCAGGTGAGCTGCAACAAGAAGGGGATGAAGTTTGATCCCTTGAACATGGATGGCGCAGGCGCCAACGCGGAGCTTCGAATAGAGAAGACCGAGCAACCCAAAGGTTGATTGTCAAACAACTTGTTTCCCGAGAAGGTCCCCCAAACTTGATGCGCTGAGGGAGTTTGACTTGGCGTGAGTTGCGCTCGTTTTCTTCTCAAGTGATGCCTTTCTTTCCATGACTCCTCATAGCAGAAACAAACAGGGTCTTTTGAAGCTTTGCAAGAGACACCCTCGATGTGCAAATCCTAAGACGTGTCTCTGCTCGGCAAACCTGCCAAATCTATCGGTGAAGAGACAGAGAGCTAATCGATCGAAGGGTCCTGCCAAGTAGCTCTGAGAACCACAAGAAGGGTCCACTGTTGCCGCGAACTTGAGTGTTTTTCAGATGGCGCTGGGTGATTTCTCAAGACCAGCTTGACACCCAAGATGTATTTGCTGATGGCAAAGCAAATCGGTTCCGGTCATTTTGAGTCCTTTGAGACGAGGTCCTTTGAGACGAGGGGTTCAATGACCCTAAAGAACGTAGTTCGACCATATGGGGCTGTCAACATCCGGGCGCGCCTGGACGGTATCGTTGATGGGGCAGGCCTTGTTTCGGAGGATTCTCCGAGCGAGAGAGAGAGAGAGAGACCAGAATCATGTGTTCTGCGAAGAGAAGGAACGACCGATGGCTATCAACCTTCTTTATCTTCTTTTAGTGGCTGGTGTCAGCGTCGGTGATATCAGTGATATCAACTCCTGCACTAAGTAATGTGAGGTACTTCTCAACCACCCTATCTTTATCCTTGTATTATCATGGATCGCATTTCATGCAGGAATTGGGGCAGGAATGTGTCCATCAAGAACATGAACTAGGTCATCCCCTCACCTGAGACCAGGCTTTACAACACAGGTCTCCTTTCGGGAGGTTCGTTCCCTCACTCCCCCAGCGTCCAAACGGAGGCCGCACATCAGAAGCCACCGTGACACAGTGCATGAGCCGTGTCTCGTCGAAGAATCACGACGGATCCGGGTGGAACCCGGTGGGTGCGTTGGATCTCAGCCACTTCAACGGGTGAGAACGTGTTGGGCGGATAGCTGCGCAACACATTTTTCGGAGAGCTGCGCTTGCTTGCCGTGCAGCTGCTTCACCTCATTCGTTGGGGTTGGTTGGTTGGCCGTGTTTCGCGTGGCCCTTTCATTCAAGCTTGGACAACAACATCAGTGCACCGCTGTGTTAGACGTTGACTTTGCATCCATTTGTTGAGATGTCGTTGAAGCCTCATCTTTTGAGGTACTTTTGCTCAACCACTCAATGACTTGTAGGGGAGAGTGGCTTGGTGTTTTTCCTTGCTGCGTGTCAATAGAAAGCAACCCAGACCGTGGTAGAAGTTTCTGCGTTCTTTGGGCCTACTCTTTGACCAGAATCATGCTGATGTTGGAAAGCAGCTTCTTTGTCTTCTCGCTTTGAATGCACCCTCTTCTGCAAGTCTTAGGCTGTGCAAGCGTGGCAGGGTGTGCCCACTTTTCTTGGTGGTCCAATGGTGGCTGCCATCTGCAAAACAGTGCCCCGTCGCAAGGGGCCGGTGAGGATTTCGTGGTGAGGCCTTGAGCTAACCTCCTAGTCCTGGAGATATGTTCCACAGCCCCCAAAAACAACAATCAGTTCGTTTTCTTAAATTAATCTATCATGGTTTTCAGTACTCAATGGTTGATGAGTGCTCTGCACTCAGCATGGCCTGCCTGGAGCGAGTCAGCCATGTTGCTGTGGGTTTGAGGTGTAGTTTCGACCTAGCTGGATGGGACGGGTGCGCCACTCATCACCTCGCGGTTTTGCCGCATCAAGGTTCTGCGATCATGCTCTTCGACAACAACGCCTGGTCTGGACCACCGACCTGTGCAGAGGCCAGGTGGAGCACCCCTCTCCAAGCACACGTGCAAGGACAGGCGGACAGGTGCAGTCAACTGTTCAGAACGCCACTGAAAAGGCTCCTGCTGGGATGTATGATTTTGGCGTACTCAGTACTGCTGATCATAGACGAACAATGACGATACACTCTACGCTTTTTTCAAGCAGGCGATCAGCATGCAGAAGTGGTCCTTCGTGGAGCTTGATGTGACACAAGCATCGACCAAGGGCTTGTGCCTTGGAGATTTATTTGGCCGTGGATCAAAACGATGCCCCAAACCAGGGTAGGTTGACCTCCTTGGTAGTCCATTCTGTTCATTTTCTCTGGTCAACCCAGGTAGCCCGGTTTTGACCCACACCCATTTGTCCAAGTGCTGTTCTTTTTTCAACCCGAAACCGCTTCAAGCCTGTGAACACACAGAGATTGAGGTACTGTAGTTGTGGTAGTTGTGGTCGTAGAAATGAGTTGCTGATCTGAAGACCATGGTCAAGATAGATAGATAGATAGATAGACAGACAGACAGACAGACAGACAGAGAGATAGATTGATTGATTGATTGATTGATTGATTGATTGATTGATTGATTGAT